AATCGCCCGATGTCTCTACCGATGCCTGTAATGACTGGATGATCATACGAGCACAGCAAAACAAGTCTAGGCCCGAGGCCCCAGACAGAGGAAATTGCGAATCCTGGGGAAACGAGAAAGGAACCAGGGCGCGGGGATATAGAAATATTGGCAGAGCGCTCGATCCGTCGTAGTCGGGAGAATTCTGAGAACTAAGGACAGGTGGGACGTATTTCCCATCCAAAAGCTTTTGATATTCAGGGCTGTCGAAAAACGAAGGAAGCGAGGATTTTGATTTGATACCAGCTAAAAGTTCTTGCGCTTCTGCCAATGAGGAAGGAAGCAGAATAGTGGAAGCTACAGCCTGAGTTTGACTTGAGGTTGAGGCCATTTTGAATTAATAAGAACGAGATGAAGGAAGAAAAAGAAAGAAAACGGACTTCAACAAAAATTTGTTGAACCCCGTGCCCTGAACCAAATAAATGTACACACTGAATCAGTGTGTACGTCAGAATAGTTCTCCGTGAAATGGAAGCTTGTTCTGTGATTAGATGATAAAAAGATTGTGAATTAAAATTTTGAAATGTGATACGAATACCGAAAAAGTATCCAATTCAAATTGAGCGCTAAACTGCTACGATTCGTAGCAGGCGTGTGAATAAATTGATAGATGAGCGCTAGAAACCCATTTGAGGGCATCCAAATTGATTGGAGAGCATGGAGAAGTAGAGATCCAAACCCAGTGAATTACATTAAAAGGAGATATAGTCTTGTCGAATCAATCTAATAACAGATTGGGTATCCTTTCCCTATACAAAACTACGAATGACCGAGGACGGTCAAATTCTTTAGTTTGGGGGGGATGACACGCCTAAATTTTGGCTAGACGTCTATGCTGTAAATTGTGACATTTTCACGTATAGATTTGTATCGAGAGGACTGTAATTGAGACCCAGATTGACAGTCAAAGTCAATACTGAATCAGTCTAATAAGTTGAAGGGACCATATACCCATACTACCACAAGTTGGTCAGTTTACCCATCCCTGATACTACCTACGGATAGCAGTCTACCTGTTTGTCAAGCAGGATTATACCAGACTCGGACTACATCCGAAGGATGACCATTCACGTATGACATACCAAGGGTATTCTTATTGGACCGTACACTGGCAGGAGTTTGGAAGAACTTACTCAAGTGACCATGAACCGAGGATTGACTCGAAATGACTTTCTAGAACTCAGGAATTATCAAATACTCCTTCTAGAACGAGATCATGCATTAATCTAAAAGACTGCGGTTTAGTCTAATAGACCAATCAAGTTGCATGGTTGAGTAAAATGACCAGAAGAACAATCGGAGTACTGCGAGGCTCCGAAGGCATATCAAATGAATGTCAAACAGTCCTGACGTAGAAACTATTGAAGAATACAATTAAATGAATACTATGCGTAACTCCCTTGATAGAGTATAGGCACAATGGGTGTCTATTGAAAGAGAGAAGCAATTAGTTTAATCCAGATGAATCAGATTGATAGGATTAGAATCGAGGAGAGCTGATTTGCCTCCGGACGAGGTGACAAACGATCGAAGTAAGTATTGAACAGCAATGACAGTTGAACACCATTCGAGTCATCCTCCAAAAACAATTAAATTAAATGAATATTGAAGTACCTACCTATGTTTGGAGGTATACTAGAATCTTGGAACCAATATGGGCCAAATAAGGACATGTAGATTCAAATTAAATGGTATCTGACTGAGTGTAGAAGTTTCCTTGCGGTTCCGAACGTTTATTGTATTAAATTAATTGTACTGTGCGACTCTATATCCTGTATGTATAAATAGCGATCCGATGTATCTGGAATACAAGTGATTTTGGGACGACGTTGCAGTGCTAATCCGTAAAAAGGAAAGACACACTCCCGCCAGACTGAAACCTCTTCGCTAGCAGCCATTCGGGCCCGGCACTTGTGAGTATAGGAACGTTGTGTTCTGCTCCTTGTGACTGCGAGAAGTATATCCAGTTGTTGGATATTCTTCAAACTTAGGATCAGTCGTTGGTCTTAAGGGCAAATCACACTGTGTGGTTGTGCCAGCACATAGTTCTAGCCCTCCGTAGGGGTCTGTGTGTTTCGGTTTTAATTTACTTTGATTCAAACCCCCAATTCTTGATATACCCAAATCAATATAACCAAAAGCACAAATCGTGCTGAATCTACCTTAATCAAAGGAATATATCGAATCCTTAGAACGATTCAAATTGATTGATCAAAGCTTCTTACTTAGCTTTCAAAGCTTTGCGGAACCTTTGCCAACGCTACCCCTTGCTATTAAATAAATTTGATAGCAGTGAACTCGCATATTGTGTATTAGATTGGTTGGTTGGAGTGCCCATTAGATTCCTTCCTTTCTCTTTCACACAAAAACGAGGCAAGCTTGTTAGCGAACTGCACAGGATCTAAGCCGGCGACAAGCAAGATGGGCCCTGTGGCTCTCACGGTTTGACTTTACTCTTACACATAGGGCTGGTAAAGCAAATGCACAAGCTGACGCTCTCTCCCAAGTCTCTCAACTCGAGGTTATGGATGCTGATGACAACCAACAACAAATAGTTTTACGGCCAGAACACTTCCTCCGAGCTGCTACAGCCATCCTGTTCCAAAACCCCCTTGAGGAGCACATTCGGAAGGCAAGCGAGCGAGAATCGGAGGTTCTTGAAGGACTACGTAAATTGAAGACACATGGGCCCCACAAACTTGTGAATGGTCTAGCCGAATGGGAAGAGAAGGAGGGAATTGTCTATTACAAAGGCCGGGTGTATGTCCCACCTGATCCTCAACTACGCCGGGATGTCGTAGCACAGTGTCATGATGCACTCACAGCTGGTCACCCAGGAAAGCACCGCACCCTAGAGTTAGTCAGCCGACAGTTTTAGTGGCCTACGGTTCGATCATTTGTGGATAAGTATGTGGAAGGATGTGACAACTGTCAACGAAGACGTGTAAGGCCACAGCCACAATCATCTCTAGAGCCTCTGCCTGTACCAGGAGGACCATGGCAGGACATCGGCGTGGACCTCATTGGAGAACTACCGATGACACAAGATGGACACAATGCGGCAATCACCTTCACAGACCATTACTCCAAAATGATTCACTGCTTCCCCACTACAACCGAACTTACTGCCGAAGGAGTTGCCGACTTCATGGACTGCCCAGACGATTTATCTCTGATCGAGGACCACAATTTGCTGCCGACATCATGAAGGCCTTGCTAAAACGGTTGGGTATTGAATCTGCCCTGACAACGTCGTACCACCCTGAAACAAATGGCCAGACTGAATGAGCTAACCAAGAAATCGAAAGATACATCCGGATGTATGTTAGCCGATGTCAGGATGACTGGGACCGTCTTCTTCCTACTGCCGAATTCGTTATTAACTCTCGAGTACATTTTGCCCACGACAAAGCACCATTTGAAGTGCTCTATAGATATACCCCAGAATTCTCCATCCCCATAGGATCCTGGAAGGAATACCCTTCGATCACAGATTGGCTAGATGCACTCTGTCATGCTCGGGAAGATGCAGAAGCCGCACTACGTATGAGCAAACAACGAATCGCAGATACAATCGCAGAACACCCTAACCAATCTAGCTTTGAAGTTGGACAGCCCGTATGGCTCTCAGTCAATAACCTAAAAATTCGACGCAAAAGTGAGAAGCTGGGAAGCCGCTGACTAGGACCTTTCGAAGTTATTGAGAAGACAGGGGCACACACTTACCGGCTTGCACTTCCTACATGGATGAAGATCCATGACAACATTAGTGTGAAGCGTTTGGCACCATGGAAAGGCAACGAAGTCAACGGAATACTGCCAGCTCCACCAGAGCCGGAGGTCATTGATGGTGAAGAATTTTATGACGTGGACAGGATCCTGGACAGCAGAATACATGGACGGTGGAAAAAGCTGCAGTACTTGGTCCGGTGGAAAGGTTACGACGAGGGCCATGACACCTGGGAAAATGAGGAAAATGTGGTAGGATCCAGTGACGAAGCCATTAACGAATTTTATGCAGCACATCCAAATGCACCAAGGAAGATTTCGGCAACGATCTTTCACTCACTACCATGGCAGCCAATGGTCAACTTCACCGAGGTAAACAACTAGTCGCTGGGACATCGACTCTAAGGAAGGGGGTAATGTCATGAAGTCTCATGATGCGCCCTTTGATGCGCCATCAGTGGTGTGTTCCCATCAATCTCTTTTCACATGTTTATTGTACTTTATCACACGGTCATCCCATTAGTTCCATTTGTTTCCATATGCTTCCATACAACTCCTCCTTATTCATTGATTAGTTCATTATGGTTCATTATCGACTCATTATTACCTGTATATATTGATTCCTCACTCTTGTTCTATATTGCATCGTTATTTACAATCGCTTACTCATTAGACAAGAGTAGTATATAAAGGACAGTAGACAGACCCTAGTTCCCCATCTCGACCTCTTGGTCATTGGGCAACTAGATTCCCTTTTGATTACTGGTGTGATTGGCCTCTGACGCTATCCCACTGTTGTTCGAGATCACTACTTCTTTCATCTGTGCTTTGTGCTTGTTTCTGTGCCTCTTCGCTCTGCCACTGTCGCTCCCAGGCGTATTCAGACATCCCGCCTCGTCGCGACACTTTTGATTCAGTTGGGCCATGGCTTGTGCTTTGATCCACTTCTATATTCGCACGTTTAGTCATCGCTCAATGTTTTTAACCTCTCCCTTACCTGTGTCAATGTTCCATTCAGCAATGTGATCATCCTGAGCAGCAACTTCACCTTTGGAATTGACCAATTCTGATTCCCTTCTATGCCTATCATAGTGAATCCTATGTCTACGATATCGCCAACATGAATCTTCTGTGGAGTTACATCTGCAGCCCTATCGAGAGGAATGTGAGTGTGCCATTCCTTCAATTATAAGAATCAACATCTCATACCTTTTTTTTCCACTCCCATTAGTTAACTCTTCACTGTATTTCACCATGTTGTCTTCTCCATATACCAATCCCAAGTCACTGCTGCGCACCCATTGCATGAAACCATGTGCATCAATACTGGCATTCGCTTCTACCCATTCCATCTCTGGTGCCTCAAGCTTGGGTGTGAAGATCTGACTTCCTACTTCCACTGCCCGCCTACCGTTCTCAAACTTGAACTCAATGCAGCCCAGCCCATTGATCAGTCTTGCGAACATTGCATACACATCCATTATACCTTCACAGTTTTGGTCGAATCTGTTGCTTCCTACCCCTGAAACCACGATCCATTGTCTGGTGTGGCAGTTCTTTTGCTTATTTCTGGCATTGGTTTTTCAGTGTGCGCTCTGGTTTAGTCATCATTGCTACTTACTTTTCTGACTGTCTCCTCATAGGTAGCAAACCCTTGCTCTTGACAACACCTTGCATATGGAACACTACTTCTTGAGGGTCCTCACCTTCCTTGTGATCATTCCAGACAATCCGCCAACAGTCTGGTTCCTTGAACCTGATTATCTTGACACTGTTCTCCCATTCCTTGTTCTTTTTATTTGCGTTATCTCTTTTTAACTGCTTTTATATGTATATATGACTCACTTCACAAAGCTCTCTTATCTGTACGTGATTCGCTCTATCCTCACGTCAGCGGTCCTGTATATGTGCCAGTACTTCAGCTGCAGCTTATCTCAGTAATCTTTCAATATGCCTTTGTTCTAGCTCACTGACCTGCTCCTTCAATATTGTAGTGCTTGTCTATCTTTTTGGCGTGCGATTTTTGGTATGCCTGCATTGTCTCTCCCTCTTTTTGTGGTATTACAATGCTCCTTCGCAGCTTCTTTTCCTATTTTGGTCAGATTCTTCTTTATTTTCTACATTCTACTGCAGCGTCTTATACTTCAATGCTTATGATTTCTGTGTCAATTGTGCACACAGCTCTTTCGCCCATCTATCGTGTCTTCTTTGTGCTTTCCCCTACTTCGTCTTCTGCAACTCATTTATTATGATCAGGCTTCGCTGTTCAACCCCTTTACCTTCTCCTTCCACTTACTCGCTTCATCTCTACTTTTCTTCACTGTCCTTCGCAGTCTAATAATGTTTAATTTTCAACATTTCAAACTGCTCTCACTTTCAGTAGCAGTGCTGTTGTTTTGCACCATCATTGTCCACTTCTCTTGCGACTTCCCTGTCATTTAAACGCCATGCTTCTGTCATACTCCACTGCTACTATTATCAACTACCATGTGTTCTTCGGGTTGCAGAGTGTCCACAATCCGCTACTCCGCGCTTGAACTAATATATATTACTTCCCTCTTTTTCCTGCTTCTGCCCTCTCTTTTGCTTTCTACTCTCTTTGTTCTCTTTGACTTGCATCATTCAACCTTCATCCAAACCAATGTCCAGGTAATGTCCAATCTTTGTTCTGCTTTTTATTTCTGATATGCATCCCCTCATCCTCTTAGTTCTACTGAAGTCAATCCTAGTGTCGATGGGGTGCTCTCTGCTAAAACAGATGATCTTCAACACACTCATCAGCCACATACTGTTCTGCCCTCTGAAAATCAGTGCCTTTCGACTGCTGCCTCTGTCAGTCCTGGTACCAGTGGGGTGCTTTCTACTCCAAAAATTGGCTCCAACTCCAGTCACCAGTCGCCTACTGCTCTGCACTTTGATGACCGGAGCCTTTCTACTTTGTCTCCTCTTGTACCTTATCCTTCTTCGCCCTCCGATAGTATTTCCTCTGCCCACCTTGAATCAGTGCCTGTCTTGACTGCATCTCAGTCTCACACTGGGTGTGTATCTGTGTTTGTCGAGACTTGGTCTGCACTATCTTTACTCAAATACTCCTTCTGCTCCTTCTGCCAGTGCTCTACCTTTGTCTGGCTCTAGCAACAATTTCACTCAAGGATACACCTTGGCTGATGCTTCACCTCAGCTGCATACAATGTGTACGCCTTTTTCTTGCATGGTACTTGCTTGTCTGTTTTTATTTGGCTGTATAGCGAACCATCTGTGATTCCCAACCATAGTCAATCTGCTGTTTTTCTTGCTTCCTCTTCTTGTGGTACAGTTTCCTTTCATTGGGATTTCCTGTGGTCGGGGACCATCCCAATACTGGTAAACCTTGTTTTGCTGATATCAGCTCTAGGTGGATTATCTTCGGATACTCATCAAGATGTTTTGTCCTCCAATTCCAAGGATGCTTTGCCCTTATTGAAGCGAAAAAGTGCAGTCATTTATTCTTACCTTCATCTATTCTCTTCAATGTTTGTTCTCAGTTTGTCTTCGAATAAATCTGACTCCGATGTCATCTCGTCTCCATCACCCTCAAAACGTGGACGCCACTTAGGTGACTCTGACGACCCTGGGCCTCTGCATTCCTCTGCTGTGCCCAACTTCATTATTATTAATGGTATATGTTTTGTGCCATTGTCATCTCGTGAACCAGTACATTCTTTGTACCAACTGCCTCCACCGTTGCCAGCACCAGCTTCTGTTTCTGCTGGCATTCCTCCCAGTGACCGACCTACCAATTGGCATATCCCTGTTGCGGTCCAGCGTTCACCCGATATCCATGACAATTTTGACCAATTCGATCTTGACTTGCCTGACAATCTTGATGATGTTCCAGGTCTTGAAGTACCTTCCCCCTCTGCTGCTCAGTCTACTCCCGATTCCCACAAAAGTAATCGAGTTGCACCTTCCCAAAAACTTCCTGCTTTCAGTCGCTGTTCTGATTACCGCAGGTCTCTGATTGAAGCTGCTATCTGCGAAAAAGCATTGGTTTCACCTGTAGTTGCTCCTCGTCATGTGCGTTCTGTGCCTAGCTTGTCACATGGGCCCATTCGAGGTACACCAGTTTTTGCGCCAACATCTGCTGTGGCTCCCATTGACAACAATGGCCTCTTCAATGATGGGCATTTAGGCTCTGATGGATAATTGCCTTAAGCCCTCATATAAAACTGTCAAGAATCTGCGGTAATTTGTCTTTCTGATTGCAATCAATCATTGCTAACTTCCTGTGTGTTTTGTAGTTTGCCTGTGATCTTTCCTGTCGGCAATAAAAATCCACCTTGCGAAGATAGTGATTGGGTGCCTTTTGCTGACATCTTTGATTGTGCACCCAAAGATGTACAAAGGTCTATTCTCCTATCTTGTTCCTCCTCATGAAACTAATGGCGTCAATCCTGCGCAGAGCCTTGCTCAATTCAATTTTGTTCAAAAGTCGTGGTGGTTGGTTCAACCCAGCCCGCGCCGGCCCTTCACTCATAAAGGCCAATAGCGCTTACATCCCTTCTACCATTTCACCTGTTCAAAATACTGCTTTTCCTGCCCTTTGCCTGACGGTTGGCATCTTGCATCGTTGTTCCATTGTCCAGCCCTCGGTGATTCAGTTGGGTAATGGTCAAACCCGCATCGTTCGCGATATTCATGTAGAGAGCTTCCAGCAAGAGGCGCAGCGTACTTTTGCTTTCTTTGCCCATGTCTTCAACTTCAACACTGTTTCTGTCACTGCTGCTGCTGGTGTGGTAACTTATTCCTCTATGCAATTGTTCAAAAACCAAAGGAAAGCCAATCCAGATGATTTCTCTTTCAAACCTGGTGCGCTTTTAATCTCAATGTACTGCCTGTCATTAATTTCTCTTGTTTTAGCTACCCGTGCACTGCACCCTGGCCTATTTGAGGAAAATGATCACCACTTGAAACTCTTTCCTCATTTTCGCCTTTCTACCCCTTTTACTAACCAAGGCAAGTCTGACATATATGTTCTTTTGAATGTCATTTAATCTTTTCTTAGTTCTGATCTTCAATGGTAGGCGGTCATCACAACTGGCCTTCGAATCCAATATAAGCCAGCTACATGAGATCGGCATCAACAGTTATCCTCTCTATGAAAACGGTGATGTCGATCTCCCAGAAGGTTCCTTGGTGACTGTTGGCTACACTGCTCACACATACGCTACAAAAAATCATTATCGCAACATAACAACTGGATTATCTTTTGATCTTGCCTTTGTCGTTCTTATGGCACTACCACCTCTCGCCCAAATTCCGCGGCCTGTTCGCACTACTTTCACCTATCCTTTTGATGAAGATTATGCATATTCCACTCCCCGTCGCAATGCTTCTGCTTTGCCAGCGTCACGATTTCAGTTCATGTCTCCTGCTACTTTGCCTATGCATACTCCTCATCGCCATAATCAAAGAAGCTTGGTCTCTGCATCCTCCTTTGATGCAAATATGCATCCACTATCTGATTGTCAACTACCACCAGCCACATCTTCTCCTCTTCCCCTGTCCCACGATGATTTGTCCACCTCCCCTTATCCCTTAATCCATAGTGCCCGTCCCTGCCCAGTGGCAGGTACTGCACAGGAAGCCGAACTTGAAGCAGAGCTTGACTTTGATGATGTTCTGTCGCTGGTACATCCATCAAACTACTGATTATCATTGTCTATCTCATCATCATTATGGGCCGGAAATGGCCCGGGATAACTCCGAGATCCGGAGCCGAGTACTGGCCTGTAGTACACACTGGGAGTGGGACATCGGTGAAGCTATTAGCAACACCCTTCACACACTGTTGGTGTCCCCGGGAATATAATGGCAAGGATATAATGTCAAGATGAGAAGCCTAGTGGGGTTCCTGTGATCTGGGAGTCCGGAACAGCTCGGAAGCAAAGGTATTAAAGAGTGGGATAAGGTGGTACACTTGATTTCAAGCTTGACTACAACGTACAAAGTATTCTAGCTTATATACATCCCAAATACAGTCAGAAGACCTCAATGAAAGCTCGGAATAATAAATAAGCCACAAGGTAATTATTCCGAAGTCCGGCCGCTCCGGGCCGGGCCGGGAAGTGTATGGGGTGAATTGCATGCATATGACAATCTTGCACAAATGTTGTCTTACATACAAGTTGCACCAATAAGTATTGCGCGCACGCTACTGTTGACTGCCATTATGCATTATTTATATACATGACAATCTGAACTCCCCGCAATCGGAGATCTCACCTTACTTCATCCAATACTGCAAAGTAGTATTCATCACATCCTCCATTGCGAATACTCATGTATATCCTCAATCTGCATCGTCCTGACCTCCACTGAAATGCTACTGTGAAATTCTGCAATTATATTAGTTGTTCTGTATTTTGGTTTCCAAGCTGCAGATAATCAACACACCATCCGCACTATATATAGTTTCGTCAGTGCTTTGAAGAACTCATATAACTCTTCTGTGATAACACCATTAAGAAGGTGCTGAAGGTTTTGCTCTGTTGCTCGTTCCACGGCCTGGCATACCAAATCCATGCTAGACTCTTCCGTTAACCCTCCTTGTTGTCTAGTCGGTAAGTCCTTTAAGCACTCTTCTACCTCGTTCATCGTTGGTCTACAATCAATAGTCAGATCTGCAACTTCAGAAGTTTGTATAGCTTACTTGTGCCCTATCTTTGTTTCCAATTCAGTATGGGCTAATGCAATTTCCTTTGTCGACAGCATCATTAGTCCTTCCATATCCTTTGTGTCCCATCAGCTCAAACACATGAGGTCACTGCACTCGGTAACATTCTGCTCGGATCATATATCATGTCCCAACTCACTCTCTGCACATTGTCTGGCTGCACCATCCCAGGGCCAAAATACTCAACTTCGTGTTTCCATATCTTGCTGTCACCTATCCACTGGGGGGTTGCAAAGCCCAGCTCTCTATGTTTCCCCACTATTTGCTCGATATCAGGTAACCTCTCTACCTTGAATCCATGATGCTTATATTTCTTCCTCGTTGATTTGTACTTCCTCAGAAGCTCTCCCTTGGCATTGACAAGTAGTGTTGCTTGTTGCTTGAATGTGATATAGGGAAATAGCGCATATGCTGCTTTTTGTGTTAGGATATTCATGATGCAAGCTGAATTCATGACTTAACATATTTCTGATGACTGTGATGAAGATAAACTTACTTGAATGGAACTCTAGGACAACTGCTTCAGGAATTATCCTCGTTCCGATCAGTTGGATCTTTAAACCTGCCACACTTTCAAAATTCCACACCCTCGCGATGTTGGGCGACCTGTACTGGGGTCCTCCTCTGTGAGTTGTCTCTTGTCTCTCCCTCCCTCTCTGCGACCTGCTTATAATCCTCCTTGAAGGTTGCCTCTTGCTTCTGCGCTGGCTCAAATGCATATCCGATTGATTGGTACCACTTTCCTACATCATCGCACCTCTTCAACAAGCAGTATGTCTCTAGTCCACGATTCTTGTAAACTTGCTGGTTAAAAAGCTGAAGTGGTATCAGGCCTGAAACTATCATTCCTGTTTTGCCCTATTTGTTTACGATTACTGTTACTGCCTCTTCACCACTTACTTGACAATTACTCACTTGTAGGTACTGAAAATGGCCTATATCACTGTGCCCACCAAAGAACTGCTTCAAGACTCAGTCTACTTTCATAGCAGATCTTTGAAATGCCTTTACTGCCTCATGACATATCCTGCATGTTTCCAACAGAGAGTTCATATTGGCATGATTCAGCCCTCGGAGTATGGCAGCAACTATTCCTATTTGTCTGTGGCATTTTAGAATTTTGTGCCTATGTATCAAATCAAATTCCGCACATTAGAAATATCAAATCCAGCGAAGAGTGTTTATCCATGCTGTATTTTCTCCACAGTATGTTGTTTTTTGTCGCAGGGGTTGAATATTTGCTGAGTGCTACTTCTGTGCAGTTGCAATGCTGCAATCTTTCTTTTGAGTGTAAAAGAAGTACTGTAACTCCTTCTTTGTACCTATTGTGTCACCTGTACTGAACACCGCCTATTGCTTCTATTATACTGCATCTACTGCCACGGCGTTTACACTGTTGTTTACTTTACCAATCTCGGTGTTATCTGTGCCCTTTATTTTTGAACCCTCACTGCCCACCTTTGTCTGCCAGCCATGTCTAGTTTTCCATCACTGCAAACCTTGCAAACCTTGCGCTCTGCTCCCCATCTTCCTGACACGGTTTGTTCAAATTCATAAATCCTTATCACTGACATCGGTTCTCCATTCTTACAGGCCACTCAAAAAACGATTGACATACTTTACATGCACCCGGACTTTCAGTTCCCACTTATTCAGCCAATAGTGGTGCCTTGGTTCCCCAGTCCTCTACCTGCAGGGCATGGTGGTTGGACACTCAGACTTCACGAGATTTTGATTGGATCACCATACATCCCTCCCAATAGCACTGTTACTCTTGGCACGTTTCTCAACATTGATAATGGGGGTGCCGCTCATGAAACCATGTGCATCACCAGTTGCAATAACCCACCTTGGAATCTTGTTCCCGCATGTTCAGTTGCCTCCACTTGTGTCCGTTCTCTTACGACCTGATATCATTGCATCCATGTGTTTGTGTATGTTCTTGATGGTTGTGGGGAGCTCCACAATGCCACTGCTAGTGACAAGTTTGTTTTATGAACTGGTTTTGCTCGTTTGCTAATTTCTTTTGGGGTTTCTTTTATAAAGCCTGACTGTACTTTTCCACAGAAGGGCATGTCTTCATCCTCTCACTGCAGCTCAAGACTACGCTTCGTTGTTGTAATATGGGATTTCAACTGTTCGCAAATGAGGATGCGGCTTCATCCTTTTGTTGCACCTCAAAGCACTATGCTTATTTGCTGCAATGTCGTCCTCACATATCACCTGTATCTTGATATATTGGTCGTCATATATGTCCTGTGTCTTAATATATTGGTCGTCATATATCTCCTGTGCCTCGATGTATTGGTTATCCTGTATATTCATGTACTTATCATATTGAGCTCTCAATGTCTTGTCTTGTTATATAATATCTGCTCGCTTCCACTTACATATCTCACATATTAGAGTACAAACATGTTTGCTTCATTGTTGCTGCTTTAATTGAAATGAGTCGCCGGCGATGTGCCACAATAAGTAACCACCCTTCCATATTTTCTCACAAGTGACGCTGTTCTCTGAACCACCATGCACATTGTTTTCTTAAAAGTCATTTACTCGCATATCATCAATGTCTGTCTCAAGTTCCTCTGTCTCTGATATTCATAACTGAACCACTGACACAGTACTGCATACAGCTTATCTTCCACTGCATTACTCGAATGTTCTTGCCTATTGGCTTGTGCATTGTCTCTTACAATCTTACTCAGGTTGTGTCTTTGTCCCTCGTCACTGTAGTGTTCGCCTGTGTGCGATCAATGTCTTTTCCAATGTCCTTGCTTCTATTGGCTGTAAGACCTGGGTCAAAATAGGTCTTAGGGTAGGTTTTGGTATGTGGAGGTTTATGTTGTAGCGTGCTAGGAGCAGGCTGGAGCTCGAAGGGAGCTACGAGAACCGCGACCGAGGACGGGAATGACCTAGTAGTGGTTGGAACGACGAGATGGTGACCCTTGAGGGGTTCCTAGGAGGTCCAGGGAGGTCCCTAATGCGTAGGGAGGTTCGGGACGAGTGCGGGACCGTAAGATATTGCGTAGTAGGAGTTGTACTCGCTAGAACGTCAATATAGAGTCGAGTAGGTAGTTTATGCAACGGGGTCTCGAGGGTGTAAGCTCCCGAGAAGGGATATGCCAGGGAGGGTAGGTCCCTGGGGACTGGGTTGGAGGATGGTCGTCCTCGAGTGTGGGAGGTGGTAACGGAGAAGCAATACGTAGTTCGACGTGAGGGATAGCTTCGACGTTACCTAGATCGAGGTCCCGAAGCTTACGAAGTAGCTAGGGAGCTCTGGGAGGTTTGGGGAAGAGTAGCTCACCAAGCGGGTAGGCGTTGGGGAGCTTTAGTAATGTTCGAGGGAGCTCGGGGACTCACTCGGAAGGCTTAGACTTGAAGTAAAAGCGTATATTCGATCGTACAGACGATCAGAGAGACAATAGACAGAAGTAGAGAGAAACAGAGGTAGAGAAACAGAGAGTAAAGAGAAATCCGTATGGTTAGCAGGTACAAAGGGACAGGGACTGGACCTATGCAAAAGGGTGTGTGTTCAAAATATACCAAGCTGGCGCTTGGAGACGTTACGGAGCTACTTAAATAGGTATGGGAAGTGAACAAGGGAACATCGGAACCTAGGGACATGAGGCAGTAGTCGAAGGAGACAGGTGATCGAGATTTGTACTTAATGGGGCTGGTGCTAAGGAGTTTCGTACGCGTGTCGGGAGGTTGTCAGGATAGTCTTGGGGAGGTGCGTATTACCCGTGGTCCTGTCTTGGGGAGGTGCGTAGTACCCGTGGTCCTGTCTTGGGGAGGTCGGATGTCTTGGGGAGGTGTAAGGAAGCATGTGGGATGGTGCTGGGACTGGTTGGTTGTGGTCAGGGCATGACAGGTGTTGAAAATTGCCTCCTCATCCAGTTCAACTCTAGTGAAAGAGAACTTGGTTTCTAGTTCCAGTAACATGTAGTATTCACCATTCAAGCGTGACATTCCTCGAGTAGCTTTTGGGATATCGTCGACTGGGGGCTGAATAAATGTTCCTGGAGTTGTGGCAGGATCATAACCAGGAGTCGTAGCAGCAAAAGTGTGATCTGGTCCCACGATGAGAACGGCTATATCGTCCGACGATGCTCGCATTTTCTTGATTTTTCTCCAATAATGGGTGTTTCTAATTGCTACCTTCAGGGTCCACTTGGAGGCCGGTTCCACTAGTCCATCTAAACAGAGGAAGCATATCATCCTTGATCATGTATATAAAAACAATTGACTTAGTACCCGTGCGCCGGGAGAGACTTGGCACGGCGTTGATGACAGTAGCAAGTCCACTGAAGAACACAGTAGCTAAAAGAAGACACGTGGAGAATCTTCGAGGTGGAAACAAGGTGAATCGGAGCAACATAACGTCGTCAGTGCGCAGGTGAATCGACGAATACTGAGAATCGTAGGCAAGTGTGCAATAAAAAAGTTCATTTTAGCATCGATAGGGTTCAGCAAAAAAAGCTGTTCCATTCACTTACAAGCGAAAACTTGATTTTTGACCAGCAAATAGAAAAGCGTTGTGAGCAGTGAAAGAACGATCAACTGGAGATGGAGATAAGAACATGCGGCTCAGAGTGAGAGAGAGACCTACCGAACCAGCGTTGAGTGAACGGGGAGATGATGAAGGTGGGAATGAGACTTAGAGGGGGCCCGTCGCTGCCAGTCGCTGCCCCACCAGGTCACCCCGATGACTGACAGGGGCTCATTTAAGCTGTGCCAATCAATATTGATAACATAATTCAAGATCTTGCAATGTGAATGGAAACTGATCAACACCTTGAGCAGCATATGTGTTACTCGACATGACTAACAACTGGACTGGAGGAGACAAAATGTGTTCAGGTGAATATAAGTATAACATGGAAATTAAAAAGATGAGCAATGAGTTGCATTATGATTTCAGACTGAGTGCAGGGCGTATGGTCTAGAGGTATGATTCCTGCTTTGGGTAAACCGTGCAGGAGGTCCCCGGTTCAATCCCGGGTGCGCCCCATCAAAGGTTCCGTTCATGCTAATTTTTATGCTCTGACGCTCGGTTGACTCGGCGCTTAAATTCCTTCCATTCTTTTTCTTACTTCAATGTCGACCACAATGCTTCGCTCTGCATTGCTCCAAGGTTCTAGTTCGTCAACTATTTCCCAAGGCATGTCGATAATCCGAAAACTTCTTGCCACGGACCAATTCCGCGTAAACGGCTTGACGACAGCTGAGATGTACAAACTCGCTTTGAAGGAAGCGCCTCCGTCGAATTATGAGGGACATATAATACAGGACAGAGTGGTTACGAAGATTCCGTATACAAAGTCTGGGGGAAAGAAGATTCCTCCCCCGGATCCTCCACATTTGGAACATCCTATACGGTCCATGAGGTGCGTGATTCTTTTGGGCATCAGGCTAACGCGTCCATTTATGTTTATCGGGGTTTCAAATATACAGGTACTTGAAGACTCAAATATTGCCTATCCTTCAGGGTCATAAAGAGATTCGAAAGGCTACGGGGAAAAGATTTCATGCGGTCCCTGAAGCCAAGGTCGATACGGGGAACGCGAAGACTAAAACCAAGGCTAAAGGCAAAGGGAATAGTAATTCGGGCATCGCTGGCCATTCCCAGTCATCAGCATCTACTCCCTCTGCACCTATCCCATACACCGTTCATTTATGGATGCCCACTCAGAAACCAAAGGTTATAAAGGACGCAGTAGCTTCACCAGCAATGACTGTGGATCTCGGAGCAGAAGTTGGAGTGGGAGCGGACTGGGATCATTTGAATAAACGTAGGCAGAGGGCTAGAGGTGAAAAGGTGAAGCGTGATTTGGGTATTGCGTCTCAAGTCAGGAAGAGTGAAAGACAGGAGAGGAAGAGGGCGGTGTGGGAGGTGTTAATGCTGAAGGAGGAGCAGGGGAAGGCAGGGAGTTCCGCGGCGCCGAAGGTTACGGTAGACTGTTGATGCGAATTCAAAACCTCCACACCCAATATAGGTATAATGTCATCGCTTCGCTTCCAACTCATTCTTCATGAATGTACCAGTAGTAGCGTTACCAGAAGTTTGAATCGACTACGGTTTGGTGGAATCTGATAGAATAAGTCAAATTCAACTTACTGTACGACACTACAGATATCGGCCGACATTATGAAGATTAATATGGTTGAACTCCATCGTTTTGACAAGGCTAAACCGGAACTGGATTAGTGAAGGACTACATTTGTGTAAGAACTCTGCAGTATCAATGACCTAGTTCTTGTTGTTATATTCATAATATACAATGTTGATAGTACACGAGACATCCTACAGCGATTTGTTTGGTCCCGAACAAGAGATTATTGGCTCATTCCGGCTGCAATTATCCGAGTCACCGACAAGGCCAGTGCTTTAGAGAAACGAGCAATGAGAAAAAGGGAGGTAGAGAAAGGATCGAGAGGAGTTGAATCGACTTACACAAACTAGACGAGTACTAGACGGGACGACCTGCTTGCCTCAACATGGCTCTCAGAGTGTAAATGCTCACTCCGAGTTGTGCAGCTGCTGCTGCAAGGCCGAGAGTGTTTACAAGCAGCATGGCGTAGTCAATGTTGATAGGCCTTGGTGGTTGAGTGGTAGTAGAGCTGCCACCGCGAAGCCTCAATATGGTGTTTGAACGCTGACGAGGCACATTCGACGTGAAAATGGAGAAGGGAATGAAGAAAAGGGGGGGGAAATAGGTTAGTAAAAGCCATATCGCGCAAGAAAGACACAAGCACCGCGGTGGGCACACACCTTGGCAGTAGCACCTTTGTCCAACGACAACGAGTTATTTTCGGACATGTTTAACACAAAGAGACGATAAAGAGGTGGTGATCTTGGTGGTCTCGATGGAAGGGCAATGAAGGGAGCAAGTATAAATAACTAGAAAATACATTTATACAGTTCTCTGTCAAGTGATTTAGTGCCTGCAAGTCAACCAGATAGCCAGTTATTTGGTATCGCATAGAAAAAATGGCAATGACACAGACTAAGGCAGCCCTGGTAGGACTAGGGATGAGGCCAAGTTTGGATTAATTATCGTCAGGTGAGATTGAATAGACAGGACACATTTCAGGATATGAAGTTAGGTGTTTTAGGGCGTTTCGAAGCTTCTAAGCATTCTGAAAGCCGGGAAGGTGAGAGAGGATCTGCGTTGCTGTTGAATAGAGCAACCTGCTCAACTCTTATATTAAACCTTGAAGCCTGGAGGCATTCAGTCACTTGAACCTTTGAAAGCGTTTAAACCGTCGAAATTCGGGTTCGAAGATACTCGCGATAAAAGAGGCCTCACCAGTACCGTTCTATATTGGACAAACATGGAGCGTGAGAGCTGGAGAGTGGTCAGATTCAATGCTGGTGAGAAGAAAAAACTGGAAACGAGTTCGCGGCAAACTCCTGAGGACAAATATGGAGCTTTACGGATAACAATCGTTATACGAATCGTAACAGCTGAAACTTCAATTCTGCCGCAACTTCCCCTTCACGACTACTCTACCTAGAGACAACTTATCACGACCTTCCGCCATACTGACAGCAAGTCCAAGAGCGTTCCACGCACGATCCTCCAAATACTGCACCTGACGCGCCTTTTCTTCCTTGTTAAGAGCTTTGGGGGTTGTGTCAGGAGCAGGAATGTGGTACTCATGGGAACGGGGAGGTAGCTGGGCATTCCATACTGGATATTTTCGGTTCGACATTCGTTCATACTCTGAATGGTATAATTGAGATAAATTGCGGGTTAGTTGATGCGGAAGACCACGAGAGGTGGCAGAGGCATAAAGAAGGGATAGGGTTCGGTCCACTGCGGTAGTGAATCGTTACTGCAACGTCTAGTGATAGATCCAACCAAGCACATACTTTGTGTTTCCCAATCTTTCAGCCGATTCTGAAGTGAATTTTTCTCGAGATCCGAAGGGTTGGTTTGTAGTTTGTTGATAACACGAGCAGCATCTGTAAATACTGGTCGCCAGAGAGAGCGAATATTTCGAACGGCGGAACTTTGGTGCAGAACAGATGCAGAGCTTGTTCGTAGGAACAGTCTATATAGACTCGTGAAATAAGGTGGTAACATCTGGGCGCTTATATGAACTTTGACCTTTAATCCCTATCGTACCCCTGAGATGTAGTTACTGTCACTTTGCGAAGATGGTGCTATATACCGTATATCTGAACTCAGCCACTGCTAAATCTTCAGTTGGCTACGACACCTGGCTAATCTTTCCGAGTCTTCTGCGTTGCATCTGCTGAGATCTGCTGTTATGTCGGGGGGCCCGTACGTTCTTCCAGTATCCTATCTCTTTCCTCACTGCACGACGTAGAGGCATAAACGTCGTATCCTGGGCGAGACGACGGAGCGATTTTAGCTAGTTTGAGCTAGCGCTGCTGTCCCTGAGTTCAATCCCAACACCATCTCTCCTCATCTCTCACCATCTCTTACCAACTTTTTGCTCAACGCTGGCTCGGTGCTGACATGGACAACCTGGATGTAGATTACATTGATCGTGCATTGGAGCTTTTTCGGAAGGTTGGTGGTTTGAAAGGGGATTTGGCCCAGGGGAAGTGGCGTGGGGTTGGGGAGAAAATAAGGTCGGATAGAGCTTCGCCAACGACAGAGGAAAAGGAAAAGAAATAGGGACAGTAATGTCTCGAACTTGAATATGGGTGGATTACATTTTCGGTATTTCATTGAACTCCAAGTTCCTGTCGTTATTTTTTGCTTGTTACAATTCTCTCCCAACTAGATCTCCATCGATTCATCGTAAATTTCGTTATAAGTAAGCAAAATCCAAACTGAAGGAAGATGATGACCAATAGTACCGTGTCGAGGACTGTCGAGGAGCCCCTCCTCCTCTCATAGACACATACAAGGCACCTGGACAACTACTGACCAATGCCTAATCAAGCCTTTACGGCTAGACGGATTCCCGTCGTGGTCTCTCTCTCGAGCCAGACATAGATGACAGCTACATACAAAGATAACATTTCCTTCCCCATTCATAGGTACCATACAGTATGATGTTCACTGGCACTACATATGCACTAGCACAACGGTGAATAAACGAGATTGAGAAAAAAAAGTGAGTAAAAGAGGACACAAGATTGCGCTTGACACCCTTCCCATCTGCATCATCCCTGAATCGCAATCCATGTCCTCAACTCCTCCAACATTTCTATTTTAGGCTTAAAGTGTGGAAGAGGAACAGTCATCCGACGAGTTATTTATCTTATCTCCGTTATCTGCGCCGTTATCTGTGCCGTTCAAAATGACGAATTCTTCGGCGGCAGTCTCGACAGCTTAATTTGCAAGTTCCTTGAAGTGGCTCGGGCGAGCATGTACTGCTTTATCCGCCGTCATTTTCCCTCTATCCTTTCAAATCGTAAAGCCGTGACTTATGGACTTAAAACAGCCAAGGCCTATTCGACAATGAAGAACATTCCTTCAAGGCGGCGGATTTGGGAGCAGACGCGAGCTTATAACCGGAGCCAAAGCACTTTCTTAGCTGCTGGTTCGTTAAGATCTAGCTCTGCAACTCCACTGGCTGCCATGCGTCGAATTCATGCAAGATCATTGTCCTATTCATCTATCCCCAGATTCGTTGCGAGGGCTTTTAGAGTGCCCATTGCTGGCGCCGCGGTTGGTGCTGGTGGCCTAGGATATGCGGAGTACAGATTTGAAGGTACATTTTTCCTTACCTTTATGCCTATTCGTCGTCTTACCTGAACCCTCAGAATTTCGCAAAGAAACACAGTCTTGGATGAATGCCGTGCAAGATAGTGCAGTTGACCTCTTTGATTCTGCCACAGACAGAGTAAATAAGGCCAGGACGCGTGTTTCCGGCATCAGACTTCCTGAATTCCAGGCGCCCAAGTTCTTGAAGGACTTGTTTACTGAGGGCGATCAAGACAAAACCGGAAAGAACCAAGGAGAGCATGGAAAGCGAGATAATGACGGAAGCTCTGACTCGAAACAGCGACCTCCGTCCGACAATGCTACTATTGCAGCTTTGTTAGCTGCGACCATGTCTTCCCCTTCGGATTCAAAGACTGGAAACAACGGCCAACTAGAGAGCCAGCCAAATGGCTTGATGAACTTAACGAAGAAGTTGATCGAAATTCGAAGCATGCTTCTGAGTATCGACCAGAACGATTCGCTGAAGCTGCCTAGCATAGTAGTTATCGGAAGTCAGAGTTCTGGGAAGAGCTCTGTGTTGGAGGCGATCGTGGGGCACGAGTTTCTCCCTAAGTAAGTACATGGATCCTCCTTGTTTATTCATCGTTCAATCTACATACAACTCGCTGACGGTGTTTCTATACTCAAGAGGTAATAACATGGTTACTCGCCGCCCTATTGAACTCACTCTTGTACACACCCCAACACCTCCCGGCGAAACTCCTTCCGAATATGGGGAGTTCCCTGCTCTTGGATTAGGCAAAATTCACTCCTTCACCGACATTCAGCGTACCCTTACCGACATGAACCTGGCCGTACCTGCTTCAGAAGCTGTTTCGAACGATCCCATCGATCTTCGCATATACTCTCCCTTCGTCCCTGACCTTACTCTTATTGATCTTCCAGGCTACGTCCAGATTGCCTCTTTGGACCAACCTGAAAGTCTTAAAGAGAAAATTGCTGGACTTTGCGATAAATATATCCGTGAACCCAACATTGTACTAGCCGTTTGTGCAGCGGATGTCGATCTTGCCAACAGCCCGGCTCTCAGAGCTAGTCGCAAAGTTGACCCATTGGGGTTAAGAACGATCGGTGTTGTCACCAAAATGGACTTGGTCTCTCCTGAAGAGGGTGCCGCCATTCTGGGAGGTAATCGCTATCCGTTACATTTGGGTTACGTAGGAGTCGTGACGAAGGCTATTGGGAAGAACAAATCTGAACGTACGGGTGAAGTGGTCAAACGAAGGGAGGACGACTTTTTTGGAGCTCATAAGGCCATCTATGGGTCAGGCTCACTCATGGTCGGAACCAGTACTTTACGGAAGAGGTTAATGGAGGTTCTGGAATCATCGATGGCATCGTCTCTCCATGGAATAACGAACGCTGTGCAACTTGAATTGGAGGAAGCTACCTATCAGTTCAAGGTACAGTATAACGATCGGAGAATAACAGCAGAGTCGTACGTGGCGGAGACGATGGATGTACTCAAAGCTCGTTTTCAAACTGCCAAGGCAGAATTTCGTAAACCAATCATCCGCGAAAAACTCAAGATGATGTTAGACGACAAGGTCATGGACGTTCTGGAACAACTGTATTGGCTGGATAAGCGCGCGAAAGAACTAGGTGATCTGGCCGTCGATTCGCGGGTCAAGGGTCCTGAAGACGTAGATTCTTACTGGAAGCATAAGTTGGATGCGGCTGGCAGCCTTTTGACGAAATCGGGAGTCGGGAGAGATTCCACGTTACTGGTAGCTGATGGGCTGCGAGCGATGATTGATTCTATAGCCTCGGGGGAACCGTTCACATACCATTCGCGCGCAGCCGAGCGGCTCATTTCATTCTCACATGATATTCTGCGGGACAGGATTGGTGTCGCTGCTGATCAAGTCGAGAATTGCATCAAACCCTACAAATATGAAGTGGAGGTGGAACCTCGGGAATGGGAGCTGGGAAGAGAGCGAGCAATAGGCTTATTCGAGAAAGAAATAGCCATGTGCGAAGGAAAGCTCAAGGATATCCGGAAGAAAGTTGGGGGAAGCAGACGATTGGGAGCCTTGGTTGGATATGTGCAAAATCTAGAAGAGAAGGAGAAAGAGCGCAAAGAAAGGAAACTCAGAGCAGTGACAGCTAACTCCAACGATGATGCTGCAGAGGAGTTTGAAGAACCTTTGGCAGAGTCTTACCGGTTTCCTGCGGCTCAAATTCTAGATGGTGAGTTTGTGCCTTCGAATTCAACCCGTTCAGTTATTTATTGTATTTAGCCAAGCATGCAATGCTCTACACTGATCGCATATCCATTCTCAAGCTTCGTACGGTGGCCCTTAGGTCCAAGCGATGTAAAGCAGGTCCAGATAACGACGTTTTCTGTCCGGAAGCTTTCCTGAACGTTGTAGCGGATAAGCTAGCGTACACATCAACCATGTTCCTCAATATCGAATTGCTGGACCAATTTTTCTATGAGGTAATTGTTTTTCTAGTTTCATTGTGTCGTCTGTACTCATCTGAATTTTTCAGTTTCCTCGTGAAATTGACTCTAGACTGTTGTATGATCTCGATAGGAAAGAAATTGTCGAATTTGCAAGAGAAAACCCGATCGTACGACGGCACCTAGATCTGCAAGATAGGAAAGACAAGTTGGAAGAGGTAAGATTCACAAAATTCTGATTGACCCGTCTGATGCGCGAATGGTTCCATCTCAGGTCATGAAGCAACTTAACAGCTTGTCGACCTTGCGCGCCGATCCACAACCCAAACCACGTCGCAATCGAGGACTATTTGGTGGCGTTTTCTGAAGTGCAGAAATTCCATTGCTTCGCATCATATTTCGTATTGGTCTTCACGCCTGTACATACTCTCCACTCACTCGTGTTTATGACCTTTTGCGGACATAGAGCATTTTAATCTAAGAATAATTAATACATGGTGGTAATACAAACATTTGGTTATGATACACTAATGTAAGGAAAGAGCGAACGGTATGTAGATAATAAGCAAAAAACGCATTCATAATACTTGAGAATGATCAATTAGGATGCCCCGTATTCGACTGACCACAGCTTCAGGGTATTTCCTTCACAGGGTATCAGCATGCAAGATATTCGGTGTTGTTAGGAGCCTACCTGGATTCCAACCTCTCTATTAAAGCTACTGCACGATCTCGAGTTCCAGAACCGAGTTCAGCCCGTACCATAGCTTCCCAGGTCGAAGGCTAATTCGGCATGTCAGAAAAATAACACAAAAAATCGATAAAAACCTCTACCTCTCGAAACACAGGCTCCATGGGATTAACAGATGGCATTTTGGAAGGCTCATGGGGCGCATGATTATGTAGCGCAGCGAGCGATACCTTCTGGTGGATCAACCAGGCTTTCAAACAGTTCCCTTGCACTTGCGATGTCTCCTACTGCGGCGAAGCCTTTGATCATCACATTGACGATGTACGCAGTCATATGAACTCCTACTTCGCTCATTTTGGTGACGAATTGAGGCATAAGATCGATGCGTCGGTGAGCGACGCAAACATTGGCAATAGCCTCGAAAACAAGTGCATCGATTACTGGTTTGCGAGGGTGATGGAAAACATAATCGTACGCGGCGAGGGCTTTGTCTAGGTCCTTGGCGACGCAACCGTACGCGTTGATCAAAGTGGCGAAATGAGTGCCTTGCAGTTCTACTCGGTGATTGTCAGTAAGCTCCTGGAATACTGCCTCCATTCGGGGTATATCGAGAGGCTCAAGAGCATATGCCTCCATGAGTAGCTGGAGGAGAGATTGATTAACTCAGCGGAGGTAAAATGACAGCAACTTACCTTGTACGTGTACGATGTGGGATGAACATTATACTTCAATAATTCATGATAGAAGAAAAGGGCTCTGTCTCTATTGGGCTTCGTCGTGGTGTAAAGCTGCATCATGGTATTGAACGGCGGAATCCTTGGTTTGAAATTGGGAACTGATACCATTTCCGCGTAGAGGGCCTCCGCTGACGCAGCATCACCCACTCTCGCACAAGCTCCAATCACAGCGCCATAAGTAATCGAAGAAGGGGCGATCCCCGACGCCTTCATGCGTGTAAATAAATCCAAGGCGGCGTCGGCTTTACGAGCCTTGGCCAGCTTAGAGATAATGTTGTTATAGAGATAATGATTGGGAACGACATGAAGCGATTGGGATTCGTTGAACAGCGCCATGGCATTGCTGGTGTCATCGGTCGTGTCCTTCACATTGAGGATCAATCCACCGTAAGCGTCAGCAGAGGGAGCACCGCCTTGTTCGAGGATACGCTGTCGGTGCACATGAGCTGCGTCGATCTCTCCGGCTTGCGCCATAGCGATGATCATACCATCCTCGAAGAGGAACCAGGCATCCGATTGCAATTGCTTGTTGGATTCCATAGATGCAAGGACTGATTGTGCCACGTTGTATATAACCTTAACCTTTTCGACATCTTTAGCTCGTCCAAAAACTTGACAAAGGCGCGAAAGCGTGTAAGGAGCAGGAACTTTTCCCTTCCCCAGGTTTCGGGTAAAGAAGTCCCACATAACCTCAGGACTTTCGAGTAAAACTCTGTCTGCCTTCCGGGTCACCTCTCTGTCAATGGTGAGCGGTTTTGGGGTCCCGCCATTTTTCAGTCCATATACTAAGTTTTGCGGTGTCGGACGGGAAAGATCATCAGAAGAAATCGACGGATTTGTAAGAGGAGTATCCGGTTCCGCCTCTGAGAAGTCATTATCAGAAATTGGAGAGAGAGCAATGGACGGAGATGGTGTAGCAGCTGCAGGTTCTGTTGTATCCAGGTAGGTCTTGAATACAGTTTCAAGGCCAAGCTCTCCAATTAAAGACTTCACTTGATAGGCCGACCGATCATACATGAGGGCGCTAAATACATGCTGTCTAACGTCGTGTTCTCCCAAGGGTTGACTGATATTGTACTTCTGTTGCACAAGGTCTTCCAAGAGAGGCACTAGTCCTGCAAAATTCGGCCGGTGGTGAGGCTCAACCATCTCCAACGTAGCTCCTGCAACGCAAAGCGCTTTCAGTTGCTTGTGCGAAAGCTCCATCTTGGTCATAGATTGTTCCCGAGCGTAGTAGTACTGCTGCATGAGATAGAGGTGAAGACGAGGATGAACTTCCATTCGAGATCGGTACATGAGATTGATGAGAGCAATTGCGTATCCAAAAGAAACCAAGCCACTTGAACATTTTTCCCAGTTTTGTGCAGCTGCTAGCTGAGCAAAGTGGGTGAGATGCGCGCGGAATCCGGGAGAAATAGACGTCTGTTGATTGAATAATGGCATTGCGAAGTCCATTGCGTGTGTAGGCAAACCTAAATCAAAATAGGCCTCCCAGATCCCGGCTACGTAGGTTGAAATGGGAGATTGTGAGAGGACTGTTGATTGAGCGACTGCGAGATGCTCAGAGCATTCCTTTAAGCATTCCCCTGATAACGCTTCCCCGCTAACAGCAGTTAGAAGAGAGCGAACCGCAGCCAGATTGGTTTGAGCAACGTAGCACCTATCGAGCAGCCTGATTTCGATACCATCCTGAGCAGAAAATTCTAACAATTTAGACCAGACCGCGTTCATTTCCGGGAGCGCGTCCGTTCTCTGAGATAGTGTTTCAAGAAGCACTCGGTACGCAAGAGCATCGGGACGTGAAGGCAGAGGAGAAGGATCGAAGGAAAAGCCAGGGGAAGAGGATTGTGTCACAAGGGTGTTGAACCAGGTCATCGCACTCTGATAGTCACCTATGTTGCTTGTGAGTAGAGAAAGACTTCGATAAAGAACTATAGTCATACCTGAATTACAGAACCCGGCTATGATTGTGGTGTACGTAGATGGAGCAGGAGAAGGTAGCTCAGGCCGAGTATCCGCATTAGCTTCCGACTGGCGAGGTTCCAACATTTCTTGCAAAAGTCCAACTGCCATATCAGGTTTACCACACTTGAAGTACGCCTCCATCATAACGTTCCAGATGCGAACAGCAGCACGGGAAGAAGGTTGAGACCCTGAGGAGCCCCATGCAATTCTACCGGCTGCTGATTGTTCTCGAAAATCGGCAAATACATCTTCTGCAGCATTGAGTTCGCCTACTCGAGCAAATGTTTGTATCATGGATTTGTAAAGGACGGCAGAGGGCTGCAAGGAATGTTGTTCGACGATCTCCCAGACCATAATGGCAATATCGACAGCACCATAGTGGGCACAGCAGCTCAAAAGGCTACTGAATAACTGTATTTGGAGATGTTCCTTGTGAGGCATAGTACGAAGAATCTGGAAAAGAGACACTGCTGAAGCAAAATTGTTTTCCTTTTCTAGAGCATCTTTTCGGGCTTGATCTTCTGACGAAAGAGAATATTCTGCAGAGGGATTGAGGATCCTCTGGCTCTTCAGTTTCTGTTCAATACCGTTCAAGGCCCACACAACTTCATGATCGCGGTCGCAATGAGCCAAGATGAGGGTGATATGAGTACGAACGTTGGGATGAATGCCTAGACTGATCATAGAGTTATAAAGATCCTGAATATCCGCCAAGGGCGAACCTCGGGGGCGAGTATGATACAAAGCCTCCCAGAGCAGCATTAAATTCGTAGATGGAAGGGTCGACCAATTTGGCAGCGAGAGCAGCACGAAAGTTGTTGACAGCGAGCAAAGCAACTTCATGATCACCAGATGAGCGCGCATGAACGAATGCGCGATAGTGGTCTGAGGATTGAGAAGTATGGGTGTTGTGTAGGTTGTCGGTCTGATTTACGATAGGCGGCAAAGTTTCAGGCACAGGAAGTGGAGGTGGCAACGTATCGATTGGAGGGGTGTCCGGACGGGTGACGCTCGCTGTCGAGTTTCGACGCGCCAAAGGAGGAGTAGAAGGAGCAGAATCAGCCAAATCAGGTACGATATCGTCCGTAGTCAATGCCTGAGTAAAAGCATGCTTCGAGCGAGCATGTAATTGAACGGTGGAAAGAACGCTCAATTTTTGTGCAGCTTCTTGTGGTGTGTATGACAGGCTGTGACTTCTATAGCGCCTAGCCTGTGGCTGACGAGGAGAAACATGCTTGATAGTGACAACTTCCTCAGAGTCATCACTTTGCGTATAGCTCGTATCATTGACAATGACTGGCTGAACCTGGGTCACTACCCGTGAAGCGCCCTATGAAACCGTGAGGACATGCTCAGAAAACACATTTTATCATACACTCACAAGGTAGCCATGGGTGAATCGGCTGCCCTTCGATCCACCACTAGCTTGGTCGAAAAAGTTATAGAGGGGCTTACTCGAACCTTTGTTTTGCTGGAAATAGTTGCTGCCCGGTGAACTAGTTTTAGAGGACGATGAAGGAGAAGGCTGGAGATGGAGGGCATTTCGAATTGTTGGATTTTGTCCAAAGGTAGTTACGACACGCGAAGTAACATATGCAACTTTTGGCAGGGGCAGCATTTCGCTGCTACAAAGTGGACTGGAATTCCAGACGGCGGTCGAGATCAACGTCCGGCTTAGGATTTTTTAATGAATGACTCGTTACTCGAGCCGTACCGACGCGTCACGGCAGCCGGACAGGACCGGAAAGTCACTATTACTCAGCTCCTAGTATACCCGAAAGTACGCCACACTGCGCCACTTTGCAAAGGAAGAAAACCAAGTGGATAAAGAGTTGGGTGTTTAATTGATGTCCTGTAATCTTAGAGAATATATACTACTATTATCGACTCCATTCCACGACGAATTGTCTGATCTTATCCACCATTTCCTCCTTCTCAGCTGTTTGTCCAAAAGCCTCCACAAACCTGCCTTCAGGATCCATCAAATACACAAATATTGAATGGTCCACTAGATAATCTCCCTTGGGATCTGCATCTGGGGGTGTTGAAAAGTATACACGATATGCCTTGCACACAGATTTTGTTTGTTCAAAATTTCCAACAAGACCAACGAAGGAAGGGTGAAAATCTGTCAGGTAAGTACGAATAGTCGAAGGAGTATCCCTCGCAGGATCGACAGAAATGAAAACAGGTTGTAGCGGAAGATCAGGGTTTGATTGACCTAGAGGGACACCATAAAGCTTTACACTAGGACATGGACAATAAAGACCTACGTAGTTCATTGACAACGGCAGTAACTTTATCCAGTTCTGCAGGACAAATATCTGGACAGTTGGTAAAGCCGAAATAAACCAAGGACCATTTTCGGAGCAGGTCTTCATGTGTAAATCGCTCTTCGGAGGAAGACGGGGCGGCGGTGCAGTTGACCAATGAGAAGGGGCCGCCAACATGCGGACGACCATATGATTTTGACATTCTTTCTTTTTCTAATGACACGAATTAGGTCAGTCAAAATCCAGGGACAAGCACATACCGCGTTGCTCCTGGAGTTTTGCTTTTTCATTACGGAAATACCAGAAGAGACCTACACCGACAACGACAAATATAGCAGCCGATGTTGGAGTGAATGCCTAGAAGAAAATTAAGCCCATAGGACGAAAAAGGGATGGAATACTCTGACCCCAATGACATTGCGCTGAGGTCGACTGGGCTCAGAGGACGGTCGAGAAGGTTGAGAAGGTTCTGGAGACGTTCCGACGTGTCGCTTCCATAATTGAGCTCCAGTGAGATGTTTTTGAGGCCGTACGAGGCATCTACCAGTTGAAAAGGGCCTGGTAGTAATAGGACGGAGGAAATGATTCAAAGAAAGCATTGGAGGTCACACAAGTCACGGTTATATTGTAACTTCAAGTGCAATAAGCCTATATATAAGCGTATATATGTATCAGTATGTATCGCTTTGACTACTTTGAACTACGATGACCCCAACCATTGTACAATTTACGCCTCTTCCGTCGCTAACACATCCTTCCTTTTGGCACAAACTGACCGAACATAAGCTGGATGTACTCAAGCTCAGCGACGCTGGTGTCGATATCACTGCAACTTACCGCGTTGGTAGGCTGATTGAAGATCGCGAAGGTGGTCCCGGTGCATTTGTTGGTGTTGGAGGGAGTCTTGGAGTTGAGGAAGAGAGCTTTGGTCAAGGGCATTCGTCGTACGAAACATCTTTAGTATACGCCTCAATCGCTCACTCCATATCAGTCCTGCAATAGGCTCAGCAGTTGCGAAAGGTGTCGTAAAGAACTATAACACTATTGAGGATTTCAAGGCTGCGGACAAGTCGAAATTATTCAACGAAGCAGCGGACAAGGTACTTCCGATGTGTTTTTCCAATACCAGATGCTCGAATTATCCATCAGATCTGGACATCGATCCAAACAGCGCGTTCTACTACACTGCTTAATTCGTTTCTCCTCATTACCTATGCCGATCTGAAGAAATATAGGTATTACTACTGGTTTGCTTTTCCAGCCTTTACTAGTACCCCTGCTTGGCATATCGACGCGAATCTAGGTTGGATCAGCGCAGGAACAGCTGAATCAACGTATTCCAAGGAGCAGATGAAGGTCATCTATGATCAACTGCATTCACTGGAGCAACAATCCGCGTACTTC